TGAAGTTGGGGTTACAGATGGTTGTTAAAATGTTTCTGAAGCTCTCACAAAATGAAGATTTTTATTTAATAAATTCCTCATTTATACTCATGTCAATACATCCAACAAACACTTTTGAGTGCCCAGTGCATCTAGGGAAGGTTTCTATTAGTCCATGTTAGTATTAGTTGGCCAGACTTAAAAGTTGCAAGCCTTACATTATTATGAGCAGAAATATGGGTCATCACAAAGTGACACCAAAGAGTTCCATAACTTGAGAGTAGGGGAAAAGGAAGGGAAAAAGCATTTTCTATGGACGTCATAAACTTGACTAGGGATTACAACGGCGAGCAGCAGATGAACGGCCTGTGCCAGATGGCTCCTGCCACAGAAACACCCTAAAAATAAAATACACCTTCTTAAAATAACACTTTTTTTAAAAAAGGTCAAGGATTTAAACTTTTGTCTCATTAATACACAGATTTCATTGAAATGAGTTAGTCATGCTGAGGACTGCCTGATGGCTTATTTCAGTTTGGAGCCCTTTCTTTTTTGGGGGTCAAGACTCAGCAACATTTTATTTGGCATGGACTGTCAAACTAAATTTTAATTTTAAATAGGGAATATTAAAGTAAATGCTTCAGGAGGATTGCCATGAGTTGGAGGCCAGCCTGGGCTTCATAGTGAGTTCAAGGTCAGCTATACAATGAGAACCTGTCTCAAACCCCATTCCAGTTCCAGCCTAAAAAGTTAAAATAAATGCCTCTAACATGTCTCCAAATGGAAATTCAAATTTACAAATATAAACCAAAAATAATAGGTTGGTCCTGGAATCAGTTCCTAAATGAGATTCTATGATCACCTTCCAATGAACTGCCAGCTAATTGGTTTCTTTAAGGGCTGGGACTCAGTTTCTAGGGGGGTAGACATTTGGCAGCGGCAACAATGAGACCAAATTTTAGTGAATCTAAGCCCATTAATCCCTAACTATCTTTCATCAGTGTCTACTCCATCATCCTTCTCTTGTGCTGACACAGGAGTGACAGACAGCTGAGGTGAATGACATAATGACTGAGCCATTCTGTTTCCTTTGTTGTTTAATGCATCTTTGGTAAGAGACAGAATCTTTGGATACCAAGTTTTTCACACTTATATCCACTTCCTTAGGTTATCCATATATCTCTTCTCCAGACTTTCTTTTGGGTTTTGGGGTGTTTTTTTTGTTGTTGTTGTTTCGTTTTGTCTTTTTGTTTTGTTTGTTTTTACAACAGCGTCTTCTTGTGTAGTTTAGGTTGGCCTTGAACTCACTATGCAGCCCAGGAAGACCTTGAGTTTGCAGCAATCCTCCTGCCTCAGTTTCCTGAGTGCTGGGATTACAGGTGTGTGCCACTACACCTGGCCAGACTTTCTTGTCTTTGATCTTCAAGTATCTGTCCTTCCAAGTTCCTAAATATTCAGCCAAACTACCTGTGTTACTCATGTCTCTCTGTGTATTCTCATTTGGGGCAGTTCCTCTCAGCAGTATCCACTCCTTTTTATATGGCACATGACTGTTCTTGATTTTTCACCCAATCTAATAATTTCTGCCTTTTAATTTAAAGCATGCAAGCCATTTATATTTAACATAATTGTATGATTAAAGTTGATTGTTTTGTTGTTTACTTTCTTTTAGTTCTATGTGGTCATTGTTCTGCCTTATCTTTTGTGAATCTATTTTTATATAGAGATTAGCTTTATTAACAAATTCTCTTTTTTAGAAATTGTTGAATTGTTTACAATATGTATCTTTATCTTATCACACTATGTTTACACTTGGTATAAGAAATAGGCAATTTCCCTCTCTTTGTGTTTTGTATTATTATTGTTTTACTTTTATATATCCTATAAGCCTCAGAAAAATGATTAGTGCTTCTCCTTTAAATATATATTTTTAAAAGAATTATAAATTTTAGAAATATATTAGATATTTACCCCAAAATTTGCTTCTGGTATTTTTTATTCCTTTATGTTGATTCAAATTTCCATTCAGTATCATATTCCTACTGCCTACAGAACTTCTTTTAATACATGTCATAAAATGGATTTTTTGAAAATAACATATAGTTGAACATTCATTTTTGTTCCTCTATAACAGTCTGTTTTTTAACTGATGTTCTGAAATATTTAAACCTTTGAAGTTTAAAGTAATTGTTGATGTATCTGATTTAATATCACCCTATATGCTTTTGTTTATGTATATGTTTTGTTATCTTTATTCTTTGTGTCTGTTTTTTTCTGCTTCTTGTGGTTTTAAGTGAGCATTTTATGATTCTATTTTCTCTCTTTTCTTAGTATACTGACTAAACTTCTTAATGTTGCAGTGCCTATCCTGGAGTTTATAATATACATCTACAACTAATCCAAGTTCAGTTTGGATTAATAGTATAGTACAAATACATTATGATAGCAAAATGATATTAATTCCTCCCTCTTATCCTTTGTGTCATTACTGTTATGAATTTCACTTATAAATAATATATATGTGCACAATTGTATATATGCTGTATAAGCATACATAATTGAAAATATTGTTGCCTTTATTATACCAAAATTTAGTTGGTTGAAATTAAAATAAAAATATAAAGTTAATGTTTTAAAATAAAAATATATTAGTTAGTGTGCCCTGTAAATTATTTTTACATTTTATTATTCTTTTTCCGGTACTTTTATTTTATGTAGGCCCAAGTTTCTTACTTCTGTAATTTTTCTTTTCGCTGAACAACTTCTTTTAACATTTTTTACAATAGAAATTTCTACTGACTACGAATTTCCTCACTTTTCATTTATCTGAGAAAGTCTTTTTTCTGTGTGATTTTTTTTTTTTTTTTTTTTTTGCTCTTTTGAAAGATAATTTCACAAAGCACAGAATTCTAGCTTGGTGGAATTTTTTTTTCCTTTCAACATTTGAAACATTTTACTGCATTCTTTTCTTGCTTGTCTAGTTTCTGAGAACAAGTGAAATATAACTTCTATCTTTGCTGCTCTAGATGTTAAGATTTTTTCCTTCTAGCTTTTCTTTTTTCCTCATCTTTGATTCTATGTGTTTAAGTGTGATGTGGCTAAGTATAGTTTTTTGACATTTCTCTCACTTCAGGTTCTCTAACTTTCTTGGTTCTGTGGTTTGTCTAACACTGATTTGGTCATTGACTTCAAATGTTTCTTTTCATTTTTTTCTATTCTCCTTTGACATTCCTAACACTTTTTGTTGTTCTTGGAACCCAGAGTTCTTGGATATTTTTTCATTTTTAAAAGTTCAATATTTTCCTTTTCCATTTTGAAAGTTTTTCTTTACATGTCTACAAGGTCAGAGATTTTTTTTCCTGTCAATAACCAGTCAACCTGTGATTCTATCAAACACACCTTTTATTTCTGTTATAGTATGTTTGATCCTTTGCATTTTTGCTTTTTCTTTTTTGTACTGGGGATTGAATTTATAACCTTGCACTTGCCAGGCAGGCACTTGTGCCACTGAGCTAAATTCCCAGCCCTCACATTTCTTTTTTATTCTCTTTTAGTCTTTCTGCTTGCGTTGCTCATCTATTACATGTCATCTACTTTATCCACTGGTGCTCTTAGTATCTCATTCTCAGTCTGTTAATTTGTCATCCCCGCAGTATACCAATTTACCAATCTGTTTTTGTGCTTGTTTTGTCTTTAGTTTTCTTTTCATTCGTTAGTGTGCCCTGTAATTTTTGTCCTTGATAACATATCATGAGGTACTGTTTCAAAGGAACAGTGGGTAATGCAGTATGTGAGGGGGAAGAGAAACATGCCGTAGCCCCATGGTTAGGCCTCAGTGTCTGGTTGAGCCCACACCCCCACCACCACTTCACCCTGGGTGTGACAGAATAGAGAAGTAGGATGATATCAGCAGGTCTCTTCTTTTATGCCAGTTAGACGCTGAAAAAAAACTAAGTTATAAAATAGTTATCTGAAATCCAGGACTTAATAAGAACAGAACTGGCATATTTCGTGTCCAGCATTTGTGTCAGAAGTCTGAGATTTTTCTTCAGCATTAACTTTGAGAACCTGAGTGAGCTCATAAAGACTAAATTCAAAAAAGTATGAGGGTTTCCTTGTGTGATTGGGTCATCCTGGAATCTTTAACTCTCATGCTTGTCCAAACTGAGCCTCCAGCAATTTGTCAATTAGTTTTGGTTTTTCTGCCTCCTGCTCTAGTTCCCACAGACGCTTCTGTTCCAGAAGTCGTGATTCTCTATATTTGTCTGTCATTGTGATTTTGGGAGATGTATTTTTCCCTACAACTTCAATTTTCTGACATATCTAAGAAAATAGGTAGGATTTTTTTCAAGTTTTTCAGTGTTTAACTTGTTCTTAGTTTGAAGTGATGTTTCCAGGATTCCTACACACAGGCTGGAAATTGAATAGCTTTTGTGTTACGTTTTAAAAATCTACCATGTCTTTGCTCTGGGATTTGCTATTGTATGTATAGCCAAAGCTATAATTCCTTTTGGTGGGGGATAAAGGTAAAACTACCTTCATAAAGAAGTGGAGGCTGGAGCTAGACAGAAGGGTCCTGGGCCTGAGTATTCTTTATCATCTCTAGTGGTTTGATTTTTCTCTTTTTCTTCCTTTCTTTCTTCCTTTCTTTCTTTCTTTCTTTCTTTCTTTCTTTCTTTCTTTCTTTCTTTTCTTCCTTCCTTTCTCTTTCTTTCTTTCTTTCTTTCTTTCTTTCTTTCTTTCTTTCTGATACCAGGGATTGAACTCACAACCTTGCACTTACCAGGCAAATGCTCCAGTCACTGAGATAAATTTCTGGCCCAGTGGTTTGATTTTTCTGAGTTTATTTCTTTAAGTTCTTTTCACCCCCAAAAAATTCTAATTAATATAGTCACTGTACCTTATTCTCTAAAATGATTTTTTTAAGTTAAAGAAGCAAATAAATATAACTTGAAAGTAGTTTATCTCATGTATTTATAATTCACTTTTAAAATCGTATCTTCTCATTAAAATAATGTCAAATACTTTTGCATTTCATAGATATAATTGGGTGTTCACATGCTTGTAGGAGACACGTCTCTTTCAAATCTTGTGATGTCAGCACATTATCCATCTGATGAGAACTCAGAGGGGAAAAAAATGACACTCGTCTTTTTAAAATTTCCTGTGCTACATAGCTTAAAAGATAAATATCAACCAGGTTGCAGCCAATCTGGTAATAATAATAATAATCTGACAATAATAATTGGACCTACCTAAGAAAACTCTGTGGAGATAAAAATATGGTAATGTAGACTACGTGGCTGATATATGCAGTAACTTTTAACAACTATAGATGATCATGATTGGCATGAGTGATGGTATCAGGCTCCTGATGATCGGAACTCATGCCTCCAGCATGCTGTACATGTAAGAAATTCACTCTGACCTTTAGCCCTGTTTATTGGGAAAAGCAGTATAATATACTATTACCGATCTATTCCTACTGTCAGACCATCAGATCTTTTAAATGCAATGCATTCCAATAGAACTGGAATGATCAAAACAGTAGAGCTATCAATAGATGCATGGATTTTTGGCCCAAACTTCTAAAAGAATATGATCGGACGCTGTCTCCTACTTCTGTCACTTAAGAAAGCTGTCTTCTCATAGTGGATGGTGACCTTCCCCTCTGTAGAGCAAGGAAAATGAGCATGGATCTGAGGAGATGCTTAACTTCAACAGCACCCAGAGAGGTGGTCCCATCACCAACCAACCAGACAAGCAGAAGGCCAGAAACAGATTCAAGTAGGATCACTATACACAGTATTAACAGAAAAGAAAGAAAAGCTACAACAATTGTGATTCAGGAAACTAAAATATTGATGCTCTTGTCCTTTTTTCTACAGAAGCAGCAAGTCAGTTGCTAGTTTTTGTTGTTTTAATTAGAAATCCTTACAAGGACACACTAATGAAATACATCAGATACTTATAGGATATACCAGCAAAGACAGCCTTTACAGATTCATGGGTTGGGGTGTGGTAGTTACTTCTAAGAAATTTAAGGAGATAATAATTCTTCCTATCCATTTGTAGCTATCTCACCATAAGCCTTCCCTGAGAACTATGCATACACCTTCATACACACACGTTCTGTTTGCAGTGTTTTACTTCAGTAGTTATATAGAATAGCAAAGATTTCCCCTTCATCAGTGGATCTGAGCTTGAAGGCTAAACTCTTACCCTTCCAGTACACAAGATAATTTAAGTTTACTGATTACCCTCTGAAAACTCCATTTTAAAAAATCTGAATATTCTTTGCTTTTTTCCAAGGATACTCTCATTTATGCTTAACGGTTAAATTTTTCAGGTTTTCCCCCTAATTATAATGATAAACTAATGAGAGAGAATATTAAAAAAAAAACCTTTCTGCCTTAATGTGCCGGTCGTCTAGTGGTACATTAGCTAGCAGTGTTAATAGCACAGCACTCTCACAGTTGGCATTAGCTTTCATCATAAAACTAATTACCATGTTACAAAGCAACAGCTGAATGTAAGAACAAAAACAGTGGATGTGCTGAGCACCACCACACCATGCACAAGCAAGGAGCAATAGATGAACGGAGGGAACTGCTAATGATAAAGCGTTAAATTTATGATATGGAAAAAGTTTTACAATGTTCATTAAGGTAGAGGCTTAATGCTGACTTGTTATGATTTCTCATTAGAAATGTGATTTATTGTCACTCATGTTATACATTTGTTGCATAGACTCCCAGAATTAAATTAACTAAATGAAAAAAAAAATAACAGTAATAGCTAACACTGGTCATAGTACTCATTTCCTAAGATTAGAGTTTTCAATTTATTGGGTTTTTTGGGGATTGGCTGGTTAATTATTCAAAGAAATGTGCACCCACTCCGGACTGGTAGTAGGAGCTGACATCAGACTACTTGGGAGGAATTTTTGAAATATACATACTGATCATGTCCCCGGAGGACCCTCCTGAGGATGCCACCCCCCAATCCCCAGAAAACTGGAATCTTTGTCAGCAGTTCAAGTGACTGTGGTCACTGACTTCTTCGGGTGATTCTAATGAGCAGCTAGATTTGAGATCCTATAGAAGACTCTGCATTAAATTAGAATTAAAATGCCATTTTCATGGTCTCTCTAATTACAGTCAAGTGTCTTCCTTTTAAGGCAACTAGTGAAAGTCAAATCTAATATCCCTTGTTTCTAAAATAATTTGAAAATACGGGTTATTCTTGACTGTCTTACAAATATATTTATTTTATACAAGGGAGCAGATGAAAAAATTCAAACTATTTTCAGATAAAGTATGTTTAATGTACTTGAGATGGAGCTCAAGCTGAAACTGGAATAGATTTTTCTTATATAAAGTAACCTAAATTTGTTGGTATTCTAATAATTGTGTTGGCTTTCACCAGCACAGTATACCTTTCTCTTCCCTGGTTGATACTATCTACCTACATGCTAATAATCTCTTAACATATGATTTCTTGGGTTTTTTGGCACATATTCCACTTTACAATTTAAAAACTTGTTTGCCTTGCCATTCATTACTTAGTGTCTTTTATCTTTAAATTATTTTTCCCAATAACTTTTCACCTGTCTTTTTCTCAACTTATGTCAAAGGGAATTGATTGAGGTGGCTATGTGTGTGCTTGTTTGTCTGTTGGTTTTAAATTCTGTCTCTAAAATATTCTAGGAGTTAAAGCAAGCATTTATCTTATGTACTTGGTGTCTATTTAATAAAACTAATGTAAAAATACTTTTATTTGCTTTGTGAATGCCCAAAGGAACCTGTCACTTCAGAGACCTAAGACTTTAGCATTGTTCTGGGCACATTATGATTCATCTCAGAGTGTGAGTTGTTTTCCAGGAGGATCTCCTTAGCACCTTAATGAAAATACATTTGCCCAAACCCATACGGACACGTCTGAGTTGCTAAGTGAATGCTGTTAGCCTCACACTGGGATGTGCACCCAGATGTGTGTGTGAGCACCCAATACAGCAGTGGAAAGTGAAAGTGATCTATATAAGCTGTGCTGTGGGAAGTGAAGGTGGTCACGTGCAATTTCCTAGCAAAATTCCTTTTTCTCATTTCTAAGGTTTACAAGTTCCTTTTTTTCTTCTTCGAACCTTTGCTATTTTTCATTTTGTTGATTTGTGGTGTCAGAAAATTCAATTGGTTTTCATTTTTATCCAAGGCACCATAATCCTTCCTGAATAGCGAGCTGCATTATTTTTATATCTGATAGGAATCAGGTCAGAGAAAATGGCCTCAGAATGTCTCACATCCGGCCTGACTCAAAATTTATGATTTTAAGCTTTGTTCTCCTAAAATATTGATAAACACAATGAATTTTCCTTCAGTTTTCATCAGATCTAAATCTTTAGACTTTTCCCAAGGAAATGGAAGCTTGTGATGCAACAAGAATTTTAAAAACAATTTCGACCTTCTTTTAAGGCACTCTTCAAGCACAGTGTTTAGGGAGACCTTTAGCTATTGTAATAGTCCTGAAAGTGAGTGGTTTCGTTTACTTTAGACAATACCAAAGGGAATTTTTCCTGCTGCTTTTAAGAGACAAAAATCTGAAGAAAAAAATCCCCTACTATGGTAAGAATTTTGGTGTTATTTTTTCCTCTGTTAAGAGAATGAATAATCCCATTCACAAACTGCTAATAAATTAAATTATTAACACCAAAGGAATTTGAAATTCTAACAATAATAATTGGTGAAATGTTATTTTTATGATATTTTCTAGGCTTTTTTACTGATCTGAAATGTTTTTTTTTATTTAAAGAAAAGGAAACAAAAGAATACATGGAGATAAAAAAAGGGGGATAGAAATAATACAAACTTACAGAAAAACAAACGGTAAGAAATTGCTGGTTGATAAGTTACACATTGTCATCTTAGAAATAGCTGTTCATGTTATAGAATTAAAGTATTTAGAATGACATTCATAAAGTGACACTACAAACCCTTCTGCTCTATGATCGAACAAAAGCTCAGTAATATAGTTATCAGTCCTACACATTTGTTTTACATCTCAAAGAGGGTAAGATTAAACATATCAAAACAGAACAAAGCAGTTAAAAAAACAATTTAAAGAAATACAGATTTCACAGCAAGCCCACTGGAGATCTTCATTGTCTATCTAACTGTCTCTAGTTTCTCACAAATAGTTGTCCCCATCTTCACCCACCTTATATACTTATTGTATATTATAGAACTAATCAAATCATTGGAGGCTTTTTAGGTCCTCAAGTTCCAAATTAGGGAAGACAATAGTAACTACCATTGCATCTCTCATTCTCTTTGTGATAGCTGTCCCCATCTCTACATATGCTGAAATTGAACTCAAGAAACTAGTCCAATGTCATTCTAATCAGCGAACATTTGTATTGCTAGAATTTCTATCATAATGCTACAAAATTAGCCTCAGGTTTCTTAGCATCTCTTCCTCAGAGTATCTGCTCATTACATCTTGCATTATATAATCTGTTCCCGTAAATAATTAAAAAGAAAAAAAAACCCCATGTGTGAATTTCTACATATATATCTATCCTCTCTGTATTATAGGGAATACCAAGTCATAGCAAGACAGCAAAACAATTTCCTAGAAAAACATGCAATGGATAAGACATATAAGACCACAATATAGATGATCTTCCGTAGTTGCTATGTTTTCTCTTGTTATTGTCAATAGATTTAACCACCACACTGGCTTATTATAGTTAAATATAGTATCACTTATTTTTATAAAAACTTAACTTTGACAGCATTGTAGGATTTGAGAGCTGTTACTAATTAATACCAGTATGGATATCCTTTACGTCTTGTCATCCTCAAAGTAGTTGCCTCTACTTTTAGGATTGATACTAACAAACATACCAATTTCAAATAAAATCAGCCATGGCCAACCCATAGTCTTATGATTCAGATTCAATTAAGATCAGTCATAGTAAGACAATGTAAGTATTGTAGGATTTCAGTTTAAGTTAATAGGAAAGTAAGGATAGTTACCATGGTATAACCTGCTATTTTTGGGTCAAGATGTCTGTGCCCTCAAATCTGACATGAGTGGACAGATCAGTATATATTAAATTCA